GGGGGGGGCGTTCGGGTCAGCCTAGGGCGCTTCGATCGGACTTGTGTGGATGCGGAAATGTTGGCGCATCCGCGTGGAGTTTGTCTGCGAGAGCGATCTGAGCGCATTTCATTCGCCAATCGCCTCGAGGTCCATGCCCGATCGAGATGATGGCCCCGCGGGCGACTCGTGTACTGACCTGTAAATCAGGCTCTGCCATTTTAAGAGCGTCTATGGAATCCTTCACGCTGCACAGATGAGGCGTGCAGCCTCTCGCTCCCGGTATAGCGTCCCACTCTGCCGGAACATTCTTGCCTGGCTGACCCGTCTTGGGGTAGATGAAGAGCAGAACGGGATTTCGAAGACTTGCTTGGAAGAGGTCTACGGAGGAGGGACTTTGAGTGGAGGAGGAGGTGGTGGTGGTGGCGGAGGTGCTTTGTAGACCGGAAGGGAGAAAGGGAAGAGGATGTCCCATCAGATGAGAGGCTTTGTGATCATCCTTTGGGACGGGCAGGTCGGATGGGAAGGTCATGTGCGACGACATTGTGCGCGTTTTCCTGATCCTTGAGACCTGCAGAATGGTGTCAATCGTCGTGTGCAGGCTTCTTGTGGGGTTGTCGGAGAGGATCACTAAGTTCTCTGCCCTTGTCATACAGCTTCGCGCTGCTTCTCATGAGCCATGAGGTCTGACGCTGAGGAGGATTGTTCTTCTCTTTGCACGATTCAGCTTCGCCGTTGGCCGTGCTTGGAGGGATTCAGATTCGTGATTCATGCATGGCTCGGTCAAGTGGAGACGCACCTTCTGCACGTGACAGCCATGCTTCGCGAGCGCTTGCACCTTGATTATTCGTGATTTGCCTCGCGGCCCGCCGCCTCGCGAACGCACCGAAATGACCCAAGCTGCTGTACGTGCCGCTCCCGCGGTCAGCTAATTGACGTCAAAGTCAAATCTTGGATGGCAGACCTTCATCGCCAGTGCATGTATGTCATCACCATGAACTTTGAAAAGCTCGCGTACAAGAAAGCTTGGCAATCAGAATCAGCGCCTTAAAGAGGCCCAGCTTGCCCAGATATGTGTAGCTGGGCTCAAACGCGCACGGTGCCCTCACCACCATGCAGCAGGCGTGCGTGACAAGGCGGCGCTCTACTCAGGCCGCGCCAGCAAGCAAGCACGTCGCCAGGACGTGTGCTCGACGCGATGCACGCACGCTATGTGCTGCATGCAGCATATAGGCGGAGACTGAAGCTCTTTCATTTGTAGATGGAGCGGCGCCTTGAAGTTAAATTTCAGCAGACAATCAAATGTCTTCAAGAGATAAACAACGGGTCAGTCATTACAAACTTTTGAATCAAAAACAAGAGGCTTTCTGGACTCTTGACTTGACCCGAGCTGATGCATGCATGGCGCTGCTGCCCGTTGAGCTGGGAAGCAGCAGCATGCGCGCAGGCGTGCACGGCTCCATGAAGGCGTGAGTGTGAGTCTTGAGGTTGAGCGAGAGCGAGAGGTCTCCAGACAGCAAGCAGCAGCTTCATCTTCAACCCGAGTAACTAAATGGGGGGCCCTCGACGTGCTTCAACGCTTTCGCATTCACGATTCACCTTGATTCATTCCACTCCGTGGGCGCGTTGGAGAGCGACGTCTCAGAGTATCGCACATTATCCAAGTCGAGCCCATTCTTTGCCGTCATTCCGTTCATAAGCTCTCCGAGCGCGCTACCAACCTCTCTCCATCCATCTTGCCTCGTCACGAACATCACCCCTGCATCCACGTTCTCCTGTCTCCTTGGCCAGTGCGACGCTCAAAAGAGCTTGAAGCTCTGCTGGACCATACCACTGCTTCCCGCGGTCGAGCTCTCGTGTGCGTCGGCGCCTAGGCCGTCGTTGCTTTTGAGTCTGCCTCTTCGAGCAGCACACGAACGCCTTTGGGCAAGCCCCCTCGTTCAAGGCGATCGCTTCCACTGCAACACCCTTCCTTCAAGCCTACTGTGTGGGCGTTCGACCTTTCAAAGCCGTGCTTGGAGCTGGAACCAGCGATCGATAGCTAGGGTCGCCGTCACCGATCTCAGCTTCATTCCCAGCCCACATCGCAATCATGGCGGAAAAAGCGCTCGCGCCTTACAAGGCCGGGACCAAGGCGTGGTTCACCGACAAGGAGCTCGGATGGATCAGTGCGACGCTGTCCAAGAATGTCAGCGTGTCCAGCTCGGGCGAAATTCTGCTCAGCTTCGTGCTGGATGAAGGCGGAGCCACGAGGGAGGTCAGGACGAACACTTCCAAGCTCAATCAACCTGGCGGCGCAGACGAGATCTTGCCCCCGCTCCGCAATCCACCTCTTCTGGAAGCGACGGATGATCTCACCAATCTGTCCTACCTCAACGAGCCCGCAGGTGAGTAGGTGTACCAGCAGACTGTTCGTGCGCGGATACGAGAGAGAGCCCACCTGTCTGAATCGGTCTGTCTCTCTCTCTCTCTCTCTCTTCGACCCCCCCCCCCTTCCCGTTGTGCTCAAAGCGACGGTCTGTCTGC